ACGCCAGCCTTTTGTTTCATGCTTTCCGCCCAGGACAGGGTATCAACTGTTTCAGAGGGGCACACGTGTGTGCATGTGTGCATAGGGAGGGAAGGTTTAGGCAGAGGGAATGTAATTCAACCTTCATGCGTTTGGAGGTGAGAAGGGAGAAACAAATACAGTACAAAAAATGGGGTAATTATTTTTTTGCAAACTTTAGTTTTTTACCTTAAAAAGAAAAACAACAACTTTCATTTGATAACTTCTGTTTGTCTGACTCTAGTAAAACATTGATCTTAACGTTGAATTTTGAGGAAGGCATTAAAAAAATGCTTATTTTGCTGGCTACCTAATAGTGTTAACTTAAAATGACGAGGTAGTAATAGTAACTCTGGCTAAAATTTGGGCTGTGGGAAATAACTTGAAGAAAACTGGTGATGTGTAGATCTTATTTTAATGGCTCATTTAATAATTAATTTTACTTTTTTGAGTTTTAAAACTTTAGATTTGATACTACTGTTTCATCTGTATTGGGAATTTTACTTAGATTTCTTGGACATTATTTTCAATAGAGAGTTGCTCTCTAATTATGGATTTCTATCTTTTTTCTGACCCTTTGTTTTGTTAAGAAATGTGGTTTATTATAAATGATTGAAATAATAGGTTTATGAATAGCAATAAGGTAACAAAGGTATTTTACTTGTAAACTAGCTACATTCAAATATGTAATAGAATAACCATACCTAAGGCCATAAGTCTGCCAGCTGATTTAGTTTTTGGTATTCTATTTGAAATTGAGAATTAGGTATCTTTTTTTAAATATATTTTTTAAAATATATTTTTTACAGAGAGAGAGAGGGAGAGGATAGAGTTAGAAACATTGATGAGAAAGGAACATTGATCAGCTGCCTCCTGCACACCTCCTATTGGGGATGTGCCCACACCCAAGGTACATGCCCTTGACCTGAATCGAACCTGGGACCTTTTAGTCCACAGGCCCACGCTCATTCCACTGAGCCAAGCCGGTTAGGGCGAGAATTAGGTATCTTTTAAAAACCCCTTCAAGCAATAAATAATTTTGTTTATCTGGTTGATGCTTGGATGTTTCATTTTCAGAATTCTAGGAAATGTTTCCTTTTAGGAATCAAAAGATAAATATTAATGATGTAATATTTTAAGTATAGATGTTTATATTTTAATGACTAAAAAATAATTTTTCCAAGGTATTAATATAAAAATATAAAGATGCAGATAAACAGCTAGCTTAGTTGTGAAGTGACTGTTAGAGACTAGTGTTCAAGTAAGTGTATTGGAAAAAAATAGAAATCCAGTTTATAAGCCTTGGGAGTGTCTGAACCATGACAGGTCACTCCTGCATAGGTTGATATTACTGTATGCTGTACATTGCCCACCTCTCTGCCCCTCCTCCCTAATTAGAGAGGAAAAAGTAATGTAAATATTACAGAGATATAGATGAGGGGATGTAATTATTGAAAAATTCCCTTGAATGGGCATTTAACAAAGTATACAAAGTAACAAATGTATTTTATATCTTTTTTTTCCCCCGTCTTAAGTGTTTTGGATAGCTGAAAGGTCAGATTTCTCACAGATTAACTCACAGACTTTGAGCTACCTGTTCGTTAAATTGGCAGTACTGATGTGACTTAATTACTATTAAATCTCGAAGTTTACTTTTGAGAAACTCAAGACTTTTTTATATCTAGATGATTTGGTGTATGAAAGGACTGAAAGTGATTCATTTTTGTAATAGGGAGTTGAGTATTCCTAATACTGTACACCTAAAATAGGATTTACTTTGCAAATTGGTTTGAACCTGTTTAGAAATTTAGGGGATAAAGTAAGATACTATGTATAACTGGATTTTTTACTTCAGTCTACTTAGCAACTGATACTTGAGCTGTATTTGTCTTCTGGATAGAAGGACTTTTTCTATGGGTTCTAAAATCAAATATCCTGACAAAAATCACTACGAAATATGTAGTATCACTTACATTGACATGATTGCAATTTTTTTCCACTTAAAAAAAGAAAGTTATTTGTTAATTTTCTAGTAAGCCCAGTCATTAGGAGGAAACCCAAGCATCTGTTCAGTGAGAATGCAAACTTAACATTGATGAAGTACCATCCTATTAATTGTAATGCACCTAAATGGCCTGATAGTTTTTGAAATTTGGGCTTATAAATAAAAATTACATGAATGTTTAGCAGAAGAAATGCAGCTATAAATTAATATACAAATAACTACATATACAAATCACTTAACTGATTAAAGTCTAAATAATAATGCATTTTGAGTGATTGCCTAGTTTTCAACATTTTATTGGTATAAAATTGGGCCCTTGGCTCTGCAAATTGATTTTTTTATATAACTAATTTTCATTATTTTTTAAATATATTTTTATTGATTTCAGAGAGGAAAGGAGAAGGGAAATAGAAACATGGATGATGAGAGAGAATCATTGATCGGCTGCCTCCTGCACGCCCCCTACTGGGGATCAAGACCACAACCTGAGCATGTGCCCTTGACTGGAATTGAACCTGGGACAATTCTGTCTTCAGGCCGAGGTTCTATCCACTGAGCCAAATCAACTAAGGTTGCATGATGATACTTTGAAACCAAGTCTTAATTTTAAGAAACCTCACTTATATGATGAGATGTAATCAGACTTGATGCAAAATAAAGGGTGTTTTAATAGATAATATTTACAATTGCTACACACTTTGTAAACATAATAGGATTAATATACATTAGTGACTGGTAGATGAAAGATTAACCAGTGTTCTCTTGCAAAAAAGCCTGACATCTTTGTAACCAATATGTGACCAGATGTGTTAGCTAAAGTGTGCTGGTTTTCATACCACTCTCTCAAGTCTCCTTAATCTTTATATCTTTGCAGTTAAATAATAATCAGAAAAAGGATGCTTTTGTTGTTAGGATAACCTTTCTTACCAGAGCATTGCAGTGTATCTCTACTTAGAATTTTTAGTGCAGCTGTTGCACATATATATATATTTTTAAGTATTTGAAATAAAAACATTAACTATTTTGTAGGTAAAATCTTTTTTTTGGGCTCACATTTGAAGTTTTTCTTGACAGTTAAAGTCTCAGATGTGTTCTTCATTGATTGCATAAACTATTCCTCTGCAATGCAGAGGACAAGATTACTTGTTTTTGCATTTATCTTGTCACAGAAAAAAAAGGTATTTACAATGCTTAATTTGTTCCTCTCTGCCTGCCTGTGTGTGCTGTTTGCGTGCCATAGGGAAGTATTTAAATTTGAAAAGATGTGAATTCCCTCATGTGATAATAGGGGTACCTTTTTCTGGCATCAGGGTAGAATCCTAAATATTACAATGAGAATGGAATGGATTGTTTTGACCTAGCCACATTATTTTACTGTAGGGTAATTCCTATGTGGCAAGTATTTGTATAAAAATACATTTTGTGTGACTTAGATTAAGCATATGATTTGTCAATTTTATGTAACTTCGTAAATTAGAGTTAGAATTTGATAAAGATCAGTAGTGTTTCATCTTTTAAAAAATTAGTTAATACTTGTGAAAGGTTAAACTAAAACCAATGGCCATTATATTACTATACTGTTATAGAATTTAAGACTTTTTTAAGAGCTTAAAGCCATCTTACAGTTTAATCCAATTCATTTTCAGGAGAGGAAATTGAGATACTTATGTAAATTGACCTGGCTTGGAATTGGTGAATCTTAAGGGTTTTTTTTTTTTTTTTTTAATAACTTTTTATTGATTTCAGAGAGGAAGGGAGATAGAAACAATTGATGAGAGAGAACCATGGATCAGCCGCCTCCAGCATACTCCCTAGTGGGGATTGAAACGGTAGGCTGTCCAGGTAATGGGGTCCTCAGACTAGCAGTAAAGGTAACGTCCTGTATTGTTGGGACATTGTGTAATTAAATGAACTTTTAAGTTGAACTCTGAAGTTTCTCTTTATACATAGGTAAGCCCCAAATGTACATTTGCCAGTCTCTACTCAAATGGTATGTTGTAGAGCAGAAAATTTGGGAAAAGCCTTACCAATAAAAAGAAGTAGGAGGTATGTCAACTTTCCTATCTTAATTCTTATATCCCAAGCTTCTGGATAATTTTTAGTAAATGGTTCCTTTTTTTGGAGTAAATGAATAGTATGTATGTTGTAGAAAAGAATGAGAGGAGTAGCTGAAGAGTTTAGCTCAAGTTGGATTTGTAAATTGCTTAGCTTCTGCATATTACTTTATTTTTAACACTAGCTATTCCGTTGTTTTTGGTGGATAGAATATAAGTGTAAAAACGTAGATGAGCCTGGCCCATAGGGCTCAGTGGTTGAGCCTTGACCTATGAACCAGGGCATATTCTTGGGTTCAGGCTTGTTCCCCCGTAGGGGGCAAGTTGGAGGCAGCTATCAGCGATTCTCTCTCATCATTGATGTTTCTCTCTCTCTCCCTTTCCCTCTCTGAAATCAATAAAGATATATTTAAAAAGAAACATAGATTAAAGGGACCTTACTGGGCAGAATTCAGATTTTCGTATTTCCCCAGGAAAGGGGCAGGTGTGCTTCTTGACCATGCTCAGCTAAATTAGTCTGTTTCCTTTAACTTCCTGTGCTACCTATTGTCTATACTTTGACGTTTTTATATTGCCTTATGTTCTTCAACATAGGTAAAGGCAGAGGCTATTAATAGCATTGTATGCCAAATGGCATATGCTAATAATTGTTAGTTTGATGAAATCCTCACGTAGAAATATTTGTAGCTTCACCAGCAAAACCATGTTAAAATGTGTTAATTCATAAGGGGGAAATGCTTTTTGTATAGAGCAATTTATTGTTGTGGTTTCTCTATTCCCCCTTCCCCATGCCCCTCATCTTCATCCTTAAATCTTTATTGTTGAGCTTGTGTGTGTGTGTTTTTTAATAATATTTCATTGATTTCAGAGAGGAAGGAAGGAGAGAGAAACATCAATGATGAGGTAATCATTGATTGGCTGCTCCTACTAGGGTTTAAGCCCCCAACTCGGGCATATGCCCTAGATGGAATTGAACCCTGGACCCTTCAGTTCGAAGGCCAACGCTCTTATCACTGAGCCAAACCAGCTAGGGCAACTTGTGTGTGTGTTTTTTTTAAATTAAAACAGCATTTTTCCCTGAAGGACTTTTTTAAATGAGTAGGCAAACAGAGCCCACTTATTTTAAAATTTAGTTAGTGTGCCTGGCCTGTGTGGTTGAGCATTGACCAGAAGGTTCTGGATCCATTCCCAGTCAGGGTATAAGCCCAGGTTATGAGTTCATTCCCCCAGTGAAGTCATGCAGGAGGCAGCTGATCAATGATTCTCTCTCATCATCTATGTTTATATCTCTTTCTCACCCTTCCTGTCTGAAATCAATATATATATAGATTTTAAAAATCTAGGTTGTGTAGGCAAGATTTATGAATAATCTTAGGAAGGAGGAAATTGCCAATTCTTGGTATCTGAACAATTAGAAATTATTAGAAATTTCATTGCTTGCCCCATAATGCTGTTATCCAAACAGAAATAACTGAAATATATTTTATTCAATGGGAAAAAAAACCTTTTGGTATTAATTTTAAATAAATTGAAATTCACACATTTTTACATTGAGAGTATATCATTTGGTTGTACTGACTTATTCTAATGAGTAGCTGGATTAAAGCAACTAATTAAAAAGATTATATAACCTTTAAGATTATAAACGATTATTTGTTTTTCAAATGCACAAGCTTTAGACTTTACACACACACACACACACACACACACACACACACTCTATACTAGAGGCCCGGTGCATGGATTTGTCACTTTGAAAGGAAATTAATTAGAAGAAATATTGCTGTTCACCCTTTCTCTATAATAGAAGTGTCAGAGGTGAAAGAAAATTAGTAAAATGTGTGTGAAAATAATATATAAATTGATAAATAATATATAACAACAACAAAGACATGATATTAAAAACAATAAAAACATGATATAAAAACTGATAAAAACAACGATAAATTGGTTAAACTTATTCCACCCGGTTTCCCTGAAAATAAGACAGTGTCTTATATTAATTTTTGCTCCCAAAGATGCGCTAAGTCTTATTTTCAGGGGATGTTTTATTTTTCCATGAAGAAGAATACGGGACATATTTATTGTTAAATGAAAATAAAGGAAATTTATTACCTGTATACGGTACGGTAGTACGGTAGTTGTCAACACAAACCAGACAAACTGTGAATCCTACAGTATCAAGAATATACTCATTTATTCAATGACAATCATGTAATCATCTTCTGGAACATCATCATAACAATCCAATTCCTGAATTTCCTGGTGAATTTCTTGTGACTCCTATTTCTTTCAGAATCAGTGGACCAAATCTCTCATGTTTAGCCTAGGGGTGGCCTTATTTTCGAGGGGATGCCTTATATTTCACTCAGAAGGAAACCTGTAAGTAGGTCTTATTTTCGGGGAAACATGGTAATATCTCCTTTTATACCACATTAAGAGTAAAATCACTTTTAGAGTGCTTGACTAATTCCCCTTGTGATGAAATATTTACAACTTTAACATCACATGCTCTTTGAATTTGAGAGAAAGCAACATATAACTGACAATGTCTGAAAATGGGTTCAGATAAGAATATTCTTACTTTGTCTAGAGTTTGTCCTTGTGATTTACTAATAGTTATTGCAAGTGCTGGCATCACTGGAAACTCTTCAGATTTAAATGGGAGGCCAGTGTGAGATGCCAATAATTGGTCTTTAGACATGTTCTGTTGATGATGCTTTCTTTCAGCTTCAGAATGTCAGCAAAAACAACCAAATTCATGATCGACAATGACAGATCAAGACAATGACATATGTGTGGTTGGTGTCAGTGAGAGCTTTATATGTATTGTGCATGCACAAGTCAACATTTAGTTTTAAGTTGCGCGTGTATGTTATATGTACTGGCTGACCAGCCAGTCAGTCACTTAGGCTTTTATATATAAACTAGAGGCCCGATGTACAACATTCATCAGGGAGTGGGGGAAGGAGTGGGCCTAAACCAGCAGTTGGACATCCCCCTGAGCTGTTCTTAGTGCTGCTGCAGAGGCAGGAGAGGCTCCCACCACGGCTGATGTGCTCCCAGCTGTGAGCCGAGCTACTGGCTGAGTGATGCTCCCCGCTGTTGGAGTGCACTGACCACCAGGGAGCAGCTCTTGCATTGAGCATCTGCCCCTGGTGGTCAGTGCGCATCGTAGCGACCCGTCTCTCTGCTATTCGGTTGATTTGCATAGTAGCCTTTTATTATATAGGATAGGTGTTCTCACCTGAGGATATTTTTCCCATTGATTTTTTTCTTTTTAAGAGAGAGTGGAGGGGAAGGGGAGAGAAATAATCAGTGTGAGAGAGACATAGTGACCCTTTTAGTCTATGGCCTCGATGCTCCATACTACTGAGCCAAACAGCCAGGGTATGCTTACTTTTAAATATAATTCAGAGTTGATTATGCTGAGACTCTTTAACATTGAACTTTTTGTTTTTCTGCTAGGTCAGCTGCTTCTATTCATGGACACTTAACTGCATAATTACAGCCATGGACAAGGAATAAGAGTTTTTACATTTTTTTTATATCATTTTTTTTTTTTTCCTTTTTAGTAGGGCAAAAAAGTCTTACCAGATTAAACTCCTTGTTACTTACCAGCTTGAAAAGATATCTTACTGTTGGACCCTAGGTAGCTTCTAACTTAGCATCCTTCTACTGTTTTTAGTGTTCAGAAAGCCTGCTGTCTGGATAGGTAGGTGTTTATTCAGCTTCTGTATTAATCAGTGTTCTAGGGCCTGTGGAATGCTCATTTCTCAATGAAAGTCTTTCAATTTTGGACACATTCTTTTTTTCTTTTTTTTTCTTTTTTAAGTTCAAACAGAGGAAGGGAGAGGGAGAGAGAAACATCAGTGATGAGAGAATCATCCATTGGTTGCCTCCTGTACAACCCCTAATGAATTTAGCGCCCGAAACAGCCATTTGCCCTGCCCAGGAATCCAACGGTGAGCTTCACAGGTTGACTTGCTGAGCTGTACAAGTTCTTAATGTTTGAGGCACACCACCATTGTTTAATATATATACTTTGTTTGCTGGAACAACTTAGAATTCTGCTACATGATAAGACTTTAGCATTTGAAGATAGCTGGTATGGATCTCCAATGGATTGTGCTATATGCTCTCTCTACCGTTTATTTTAAAAATTGAGGAAACATTTGTTTCCTGTCTTCTAATGAATTTTACTAGCAATTTAAAAAAATATATATTTTATTGATTATTTTTTACAGACAGGAAGGGAGAGGGATAGAGAGTTAGAAACATTGATTCAGCTGCCTCCTGCACACTCCTTACCGGGCATGTGCCCGCTACCAAGGTACATGCCCTTGACCGGAATCGAACCTGGGACCCTTCATTCTGCAGGCCGATGCTATATCCACTGAGCCAAACCAGTAAGGGCAGCAACTAAATTTTAATTGAATTGGTAGAGAGTGGACAGGAGGCCAAGCCAGCTGCCTACCAATATGTGGACAAAGTAAAAACTAATCTTTCTAGGTGAAGAACGGGGAGTGATGTGGGGCTTGAAACAGTTTCCAGAAAGACCATTGAATGTTATGGAAAGTTGAAAAGAAAAGAAATATTTATCTTTTGTGTTTGTATTTCTTTCTACAGGTTCTTTCAGTACTGTAGAAGTGATTTATTTGAAGACAAAATTTAAAGTGTAGCTAGGTGCTCTTGTTACTTTTGTTAATTTATACTTCATTTTTAAGTATCTTTTGTGTTCCAATTTGTAGATTTTCTCCTTAATTAAGAAAATTGATTTACATATTTTTTAATTTTAAATATATGATTTATATATTTTCATGGATAGCCAAATTTTCAGAGTTGTCTCTTCCTAATCTTTCTTGTTATGATGTTTTACAGTTGTCTAGTTGAAGAATTTTTTTTTGGTCTCATCTCTGCTATTTCTTTTTATTTGTCAACTATTATAAGTAATGAAACGATAGATTGGGACTGGGCAGCACTTGTTGGGTAATTATTTTTTAGTAATAACTATAGTGTTTTGATGTTTACCGGGTATAGTCTTATCTCTATCAGATGGTTTCCCACTTCTGAGTCTCTGGGTAATCTGGGAAATGACCTGATCTTTGTCTTGCTCACATGTGGTGGTATAAATGAATTTTTAATACACTCTGGATACTCAGTAGTTGAAAAAGGAACCCTAAGTTGAATTTTAAGATGACTCTTAAGAGGGCAGGTTTTGCTTATCAGTATTATGGTAGGCTTTCTGATGAAGTTATCTTTTTTATGCTAGGAAAACAGCCCTTCTCCAGAAAAAAATACTTAATATATATTTTATGTGGTTGTAATGAGTAGTTAAGCAATTGGTCTAACCCCAACTACTGGGGTTTGAGTCCAAAACCTAGGCATGTGCCCCAACTTGGAATTGAACTGTGACTTCCTGGTTCATAGGTTGACACTCAACCACAGAGCCAGCTTGTGCCCCAGGTTTTAAACTATGAACTGCCCTGGCTGATTTTACTCAGTGCTTAGAGCATTGGCCCATGCATTGGCTTCATTCTTAGTCAAGGGCACGTACCTGGGTTGCAGGTTCGATCCCAGGCTCCATTCGGGGCGCATGCGGGAGGTGACCAACATCGTCACAATTAATGTTATTGTGACGATGTTGCTTCCTTCCTCCCTCTCTTAAGAAAAGCAATGGGGAAAGTATCCTTGGGTGAGGATTGATAAAATAAAATCATGAAAAACTAAAAACATGTTACAGTAACAAAATCACAATAAGTTGATGTATGAGCTTTAATAAAATCATAGATCTTTATTTTGGCTGCACAGAGGTCTTTTTGCATACTTTTCTAATTGATGGTACTCCATGAAGATTTACATCGAACCTTGAGTTTCACATAACTGTTTTTCATTTCCTTTTTAACCTTGTTCCCAGTTACTGCTGTATGAGAGATTACTTTAAAACTTAACATCATTAT